ATGGGAATCCCAGAACATTTGATTGTGCTTACGCAAAATCTATACGTGAACCAGGAAGCAGTTGTCAGAACAGAGCAAGGAGACACTGCATGGTTCAGAAAAGGTATCCGCAAGAGATGTATTCTATCTCCATACCTATTCAATCTGTATGCAGAACAGATCATCCAGGAGGCTGGACTGTATGAGGAGGAATGTGATATCAGGATTGGAGGAAGATTCATCAACAACATGTGTTATGCAGATGACACAATCCTGCTTGCTGAAACTGAGGAGGACCTGAAGCGCTTGCTGCAGAAGGTCAAGGACTGCAGGCATCTGTATGGATTGAAGCTCAATATCAAGAAAACAAAGATTCTCACCACTGGGCCAATTGGCAGCATCATTATGTATGGTGATGAGATTGAGATTGTTAACAGTTTTAATTTCCTTGGCTCCACAGTCAACACTCTTGGTACCAGCAGCCAGGAAATCAAGAAACAAATTTGTATTGGGGAAAATCATCTCTCAGGGACCTCTCTAGAGTACTGAAGAGCAAAAATGTCAGTCTAGAGACTTAAGGTGTGGCTGATCCAGGCCATAGTCTTCACAATTGCTTGCTGTGAGTCAGAGAGCTAGACAAATGACTAGTGATGATAGGAAGAGAATTGATGCCTTTGAGCTGTGGTGCCGGAGAAGAGTGTTGAAAATACTATGGACTGCTAGGAGAACAAACAGGTTCATCCAAGAGAGGGTGAAACTAGGCGGCTCCTTGGAGGCAAGGACTCAAAGCTTCGTCTGACATACTTTGAACATGTTATAAGGAGGGCCCGATCCTTAGAGAAGGACATCATGTTTGGGAGGGTAGAGGGACAGTGCAAGAGAGGAAGACCCTCAGTGAGATGGGTCAATTCAGTAACTGGGGCAATGGGGTTAGATGTGTCAGAGACAATAACGTTGGCACAGGATAGAGCAGGGTTTAGGGCTCTTGTACATAGGGTCAGTATGAGTCGCAAGCAACTCGACGACACATAACAACAACATCTCAGTAATTTTATATGTTTACATTCCTTCTACTACTGTTAGACAGTAACAGGTCGTTACACGGTAGTAGGTCAGGTTACATCTTGCTTATTGTAATGTTCCATTGGTTTTCTGAGGCTATAAATTTTTATGGGACGAGACTGCCCATTGACCAAGAAGTAAGCAGTCCAAATCCTGTCAGTGAATTCAAACTGCTGAATAAGCCAGTACCTTACACGCTATACCACTAAATAGCATATTGGTGTGTGAATGACTTGCAAATGTGTAACCTTAGTCCAGTCCATTCTTGTGAGCTGTCTGCGGTCAAATTTCTTATGTCAAAGATTCAATTATTTTTTTTTCTAGCTTACTTGCTTGCTTCCCTCATTCCGTTTTTCATTTATCAAGTACTTGCTGACCTTCACAGGCTACTAAGCATAGTTCTAGATACTAGAAAATGTCAAATAAACCATATTTCACTTTTGAAAACCCAGTCAGGTTAAGTATCTGGAGCATAAATAGAGATACTGTTTTTGAGAAGTTAGAAAAAGCCTCTCTCTGATGTATATTTAAGCAAAAATGTAGATTTTTCTGTGAGTGTGAACCATGCATTCAGGGAGAAAATGGTTTGGGTGGAATGGACACAGGTCTTAATGCCTGACTTGTTCATACAACAGCATGGGAAGTCAGTATTCAGGAGCACAGTTAAACCTGAAGATCGAGAAATGTGATTGCTGAGGCAGAGGAGACAATATAATGTTAGGCCTTTTAGCCCATGTAGGCTTTTTTAATTGGTTTTTTGGTGGATTTTTTTTTTAGAGTATTGTGCAGAGTAATGACATCGTTTGTGTTTACAAAATATCTCTCTGAATGTTGTATGGTAAGTTGAGAATAAACAGATGAGAGCCAGTGTTAGGAGCCAACTTCAGAAATTGCATCAGTTGACTATGGGCAAACTGGAGCTCAGACCAGGTGTAACAGTTGAGGTAATTGACATTGTTGAACTGCTTTGAAAATTTATTGCTTTGGAGTCATAGTCCAGTCATGGCTGACCTGACAGTTTCTTAGACTGCAAATGTCACCAGATTGCCAAACTTTCTTCCCAGAATTCTTGGTGACTTTAATTACTAGACAGGTATGATCTTTGGGTTAGCAGAATACATCATCAGAGAGCCTCCTAATTTAATATCAGTCAGTCAGTCAGCTGAACAATTACTAAAGGTGATAGAAGAAGAATGATGCCTCTGAGTTATGCTGGAGAAGAGTCTTGAACATAAATAAAGATAAAAATTAGAAGATTATCTACTTATAGGTAGAAATTAAAATGATTATTCAGGAGACTGGACTTTATTAAGAAGAATATTCCCTCAAGATTGGAGGAAGACTCATCAGCAGCCTACATTATGCAAATGACACAATCTTGCTTGCCAAAATTGAGAAGGTTTTGAAGCATTTTCTACAAAAGGTCCAGGACTGTAGTCTTCAATATGGATTGCATATCAACATTAACAAAGCAAAGATTCTCACCACTGGGCCAGTTGGCAGCAATAAGATAGATGGAGTAAAGATTGAGATTGCTAACAATCTCAGCTTGCTCAGATCAACACTCAACACTCTTGGTACCAACAGTTAAGAAATCAAAGATGAGTTGTTTTTTGAAAGTGCTGTCAAGGACCTCACCAGAGTGCTAAAGAGCAACACTGTCCATTTTTAAACTAAGGTGTGTGCCCAATCCAGGCCATGTTCTTCGCAGTTGCTAGCTGTGCATCTGAGAGCTGGAGTAAGACGATTGGGGGGTGGAGAGTGGAAGCAGAGGGATGAGGATATGTGCAGTCGGGCATTAATTATCATTAATCATGGATCACACGATTTGATGGGTAGGGGAGTGAGGGAAATGAGAATGATCTAGTGTGAAAAACAATGTATTCGAATTTTGTAAACTGTATAAGAATGATTGTATGAAAATGTAGATGAAAGATTGTACACAACAATGTATATGAATGAAGCATACTGTAAAGGTACTATTTTATGAAAATCAATAAAAAATATTTTTTATAAAAGAATCGCAGGAAGGAGGCGGGACTGTATTTACATTGTGCATGTTGTGTTTAATGCCATAAAATAAAATCTGAATAAATAGTTGGATGGAAAACCAGTTTGGTCAATAAAATCACAATGAAAAATTAAAAAGAAATAAAAATGCACTGTACAAAAGTGCAGTGCATTGTACAAAAGTAAATAAGAAAATCCAGAAAAATGGTTGGATATGTTTGTTATCCTAATGAATGGATTGCTATGTTAACTTTTATTTAGCTGCTTGTATATTAGAGTTTTAGATTTAAAATAGAAATGTCATTAGCAGCCAAAGGCAACCAAAGAGTTGCTGAACTTTTTTTTTTTCCCCTCGGAGAATCTAAAAGCTAATTAATGCTTCTTATTTCCCATAGTCCAGATTTCAGTACAGTTCTGAACACCTGTTTAAACCGAGGCTTCAGTAGACTCTTGGGTAATATGGCTGAGTTCTTCCGTCCTACAGAGCAGGACCTGCAGCGTGGCAACTCCGTGGACAGGTGAGAGAACAGAAATGTGCTCCTTTAATCAGCATTCTGGAAAAGCATGCTTTGGATATGTTTGGGGTTTGTTCCAAATGACAAATATTACTGGACATGACAGGTATCTCTCAAGCCAATAACTTATTCCTTAGTAGAGGCTTCTTCCAGATTCAGTATTAAAATTTGTACAAATAAGTAGCTTTTTAATGTTTATTTTCTTAAGCAATTTAAATGCCACCCTAAAACCTTACTTAATGGTTTACAGAAAAGTGTATTTCAGCTAAGAGGAATCTTATACACTCCATAAATCAAGGTGATCCAAAATAAATGTTCACAGTAATCTATGCCTAACAAGCTATCTATCAGTCATAGTTAGGACCTGAGTTGATAAATGATTTTAATAGATATTTTAACATGAGCAAATATTTCATCTTACACATTGAGGAATCATAAAAGTTGCCCGCAGCCGTATGATTGTCTTCCTTTTCTAAACTCCCATTTCTGTCTCCATATGTCTGTGTCCGGGTTCTCACCTACATGTGCTAGCTTCAGTTGTGAGTTTATTGTTAAGTTACATGTTTTAAGTCTCCTCTGAAAATCAGAGACAGTCTTACCCCCTCTCGTACCTCTTTACACACAGCAGGTATTCACTGAAGGTTTTCTATGTTTGTATATGTCACATCCACAGCCTCCTGCCTCCTCTGTGGTTCAACACAAGAAACATTCCCTTACGCTACTGACATCCCTGTTCAGCATATTGTAAAAGTTCTGACCATCCTACTGAGTCAAGAAATAGGACTTTAACTGCTGGCAAAGAGAAATACTATGGAGGCCAGTCTTTTTTCTCAATTTAGACCCCTCAAGAATGATTCAAATTAATGAACGATCAAATACTGTGTATTACCCAAACATATAACACATCTGTTTCTCTGTACAGGGAGCTCTGGTGGCTTAGTGGTAAGGAGTTGCACTGCCAACCCAAAGGTATGCAGTTTGAATCCACCAGCTGCTCTGTGGGAGAATGATAGGCCCTCAACTTCCGTGCAGTTTACTGCCTCTGAAAACCCACCCAGGGGTCAACAGTGAATGCTACCAGCAGTGGTGCATTACAACAACTAAATCTGTATATTCAGTATTTTAAAATCTGCCAGTAATAACCCAGTAGAAAATATAATGGATAATGATATCACTTAGAAGGAGGATAATGTGGATTTGAAATGTTAATACAGATCTAAGAATATAAAATACTAGCAAATGAAATCTAGAAGTAGTACAAAGTGGTGATAAATGCAGTGAGTATTTTCCTTGGTGTACAGGTATGATAGGTATTCTTCAGAACATTACCCCACTGAATTCTTAAAATAACTCTAGGAAATAGGTACTAATATTTTCCAAATGATAAAAATTGAGACATGGCCATCCCAGAGGTACGCAATTCGAATCCACCAGGTGCTGTGCTGGAGGAGAGGCAGTCTCCTCCTGTACCAGTCAGATCCGATTTGATGGTACACACACAAGAAATAACTTTAAAAAATTGAGGCATGGAAACTGAATAATTTATGTTCAAGTAGCTAGCAAGTAGTAAAACCAGTTAAATTATACCTGACATCATAGCCCACAATTTTTAACCAAATCACTCTGGCTCTCTGACAAAGTAGGGCATATATTAAGCATGCAAGGAGGGTTAAAACAGTAAGACACTATGTTAATCTATAGTACTTACAAATTAATAAGAAAAAATACCTTGAATGCTGCCAACAAGGCATTCTATAAAGCAAAATAGATATTATTGATATAATTGTACCCAAGATATGCAGGCAGCGTTGTTTTACTTAATTATGAATGGCAGACACAGCTGCTTACCAAGATGAAGGTTTGTGGCAATCCTGCAGAAACCCTAGTGGCACAGTGGGTTAAGCATTGTTAATTCCAGCGTCAACAGTCGAGCCCACTGGCCGGTCTGCAGGAAAGGAATCAGGCAATCTGCTCCCTGAAAGATTCCGGTCCAAGGGGTCACTGTGAATTCAGAATCAGCAGTGCTCTTGGTGCCCTGCATTGAGCGAGTTAGCTGGCGCCAGTTTTCCAACAACATGTGCTCTTTTAATGTGTTTGTGTCACATTTTGGTAATTTTCATATTTCAAACTTTCTCATAACGCTCTTGCACGCTTACTAAAGGAACAAGTACTGACTTCTGTTGCTTCTAACTCACAGCAGTCCCACAGGATAGAGTAAAGCTGCCCATGGGATGTCCAAAGCATAAACCTCACAGAGGGGAACGTTTCTCCATGAAGCATCTGCTGGATCCCAGCTGCCATCCTTTAGATTCGCAGCCAAGCGCTCTAACCACTTTGCCACAAAGCTCTTTTCAGCTCTGGATGGCTTTCCATTGGGTTTCCAAGGCTCTCAACCTTATGTGAGGAACTGAGCCATCTTTCTCCCTCAGAGCATCTTTCTCCCTCCCTCTCCTTTCTCTCCTATCCTTCAAGGGTAGTCCGAGCACAAACACATGAACAATAAAATCAAAGCATAACCGTCAAAGAAAAAAAAAGCGCATATCATGAAAGAAAGTAATGCCATACTTTTTTAAGGAAAACATGAACTACTGCACTTCTTTTTTTCTTTCTGAGCATGGCTTCAGATCTCCATATAGCACACTGATGAGGTGCCAGTTTCAGCCTTTTTCTATTTTAAAGGAGATTTATGATGTTTTTCAAGGTTTAAATGAATGAAATAAGATTTTTCTAATATCATGACTGGTTCAGCAGCCAATACATAAATTAGTTGTGCCACTTAAGAGTTTTATGTCATATGTAATCACACATGTATTTTCTTACCTCCTCATCCATCAAATGTTTATTTTCTACTTGTAAGTTAGAAGGCCATAGCTGTGATCCAGGCAAGTTAGCTTGGCCTTGCTTGGTGATGGGGAGAAGCAAGCGTGTTTAAGAAATATCTAGGACTAGTCCCTTCCAGCCGGGTCCTGGCACGATGGTCCCCACAAAGAAGGGTGCTGAAAAGAAGAAAGGCTGGTCTGTCATCAACACAGTGGTGACCAGAGAGGACACCTCAACATTCACAAGCACTTCCATGGAGTGGGCTTTAAAAAGCATGTCCTTCGGGCACTCAAGGAGATCCAGAAACTTGCCATGAAGGAGATGGAAACACCAGACGTTCACACTGACACCAGGCTTTAAAAAGCCATCGGGGCCAAAGGAATAAAGAAAGTCCCATATCACATCTGTGTACGGTTGTCTAGAAAACGTAATGAGGATGAAGATTCCCCA